CCCCCCCCCCCCCCCCCCCCACGTCCCGAAAAAAGAAAAAAAAAGGTGGTGTGTACAATCCAAGTTCGACCGCTAGATGGCATAAAAACACTGCAGTTCACAGCACTGCCATTGTAGACTGTGAATGCAGTAAAAAGATCTGTCTCTCACAGACACAGACACAGATTCTGTGCATTACTAACTCACTAACTAACCCACTAACTCACTCACTAACTCCCTAACTAACCCACTAACTCACTAACTCACTCACTAACTAACCCACTAACTCACTAACCCAAACCTTCTTACCTCTGCAGACGGGGTGAGGATGTTTCCAGCTCTGATTTTCCAGGCAGTAGTTTTCTCTGCTCCCAACCAATTCTGCCCTGAAGACGAGAGGACAGGGTGGGTGAAGACCACAGTTGGGGGGTGCGGGGGGGGGGTAATGTTCTGGGCCCAGTGGGCCGACTGACAGGTTCACATTGTAACAACCAGGTTTGGTCAGCAGGGAGATCAAATCCACATCCCCCTCTGTCCCCTGTCCCCCTGTCTCACCCCCTTTGTCCCCCTGTCCCGCTGTCTCACCCAGAGAAGCAGCTGTAGCGTATTGATGTCCCCACTGTGGCGTCCCCCTGAATGCTGAAGGAGCCGAGGACGTCCTCTGGGAGGGGGCACCTGGAGGCAGCAGCTGGTCTGGAGGACTGAGGTTCTGGAGGTCAGAGGAAACATGTGATGAACATTTAAATATGAAACAAACTGTGGTTCAGAATCAATCAATCAATCAATCAATCAATCAATCAATCAATCAATCAAATGTCACAGTTCAGTAATACATGAAAAAGCATCAGTTCATCGGTTCTCAAACTGTGGTTCTACTCTAGAGTTGCACAGGAGAATGTGATTCTGTGGACAGCTGAAGGACAGACCCTACGGTCAGGGTGTGACCTTTGACCCCTGAAATAACGTCAGTGTTTGGTGAGGGAGCTCCGTCACAGCGCCATCTGTGGTTGTATTGCAAATATAACGAGAGTGACTCCAGTGACCTGCACTGCATCACAGCACAAACTAGAAGCGAGAGAGAGCGAGAGAGAGAGAGAGAGAGAGAGAGAGAGAGAGAGAGCCTGGCTTCAGATGAGAGCCCAAAGCTGAGTTCAGTTTTCATAAACCTCCTCCTCCTCCTCCTCCTCCTCCTCCTCCTCCCACACAGGCTTCAGCTCCAAACTGCTACAACACAGGTACTGTATCAGATCAGACCTGTGATCTGCCACCCACACACACACACACACACACACACACACACTGTGACACATGTGCCCCCCCACCATCCCCCCACACATATATACAAAAATACTGTACATTTAATTTACTCATTAAATTCTATCTTCCTGCCTCTTCACATGTGCACACACTCACACACACACTCACACACACACTCACACACACACTCACACACACACTCACACACACACAGCTCTGTGCCTCTTTGACAGTGATCTGCCGCCCACTGCCTCTCAACAAGTAAGAAGGAGCTCAGCTCACAATGTAACACACACACACACACACACACACACCTACCTTCTGTCTGCATCTCAGCAGCAGAAGACTGAAGCCCAGAGCCCAGTGTAGTACGGCAGATGGAACAGTCGTACACACTGCCCCCCCAC